TTAGTATTACAATATTATAAAATGTATTCATATTTTGAATGAGTGTTTTTATAATTGTCATGCTTAATTTTATGTTTTTAAAGCTTTTATCATGTGCTTTTGTCATTTTAATCTTTTTTTTGTCAGTTTTTGTTTGCAATTTTAGCAATTTTTTTAAAAAACATGAACATTTATTTTCATTTTTCAATCTTCGTTTTTCTTCTATTTATATTTTGTATTTTCAGTATTCCACTTAACTAATTGACTTTAAATAGTTTTAGTTAACAATAACAACACATCATGATGATGATGATTATTATTACTAATTATTATTATTATTAGAAATCTGATTCTCGCTCACATACACACACTAGACACTCAGTGGAGTGCACTGAATATGGGGCTTGAACTGTGGATCTAAGGATCCACAATCATGAAACAATGACATCCAACAGAGCTTGAATGGCCTGTAGCAGTGTATTCTGGGATACTCATGGTGGGATAGGCACCTCACTAACCAGGCAGTTGGATATGCTAGGGATCAGGAGGTATAGGGGCTGGTGGGTAGAGGGGGGTCAGGGACGAAGCGAGGGCAGCAGGCATGGAGAGGAGAAGAAAGACGGTTGGAATCTGTACGGACAGCTGGCTCTCAGCCAGTGAAGTAAAAGATGGCTTAGTGTCACTCAAGATGCCAACAACAACAAAAAGAGGGTCTGGACAACTAGAGCTGAATTTATGGCCATCTAGTTAGCTGGCTAATTTTTTCCCCCTCTGAATGCGAAGAAAGTACAGCATTACGTTTTCAAAAAAAATGTGTAAAACACATTTAAATACACAAAGCAAAGCAATGACATGCCTGTGCACTCATAAAATCAAGAGCCTATTGTACAAAAGTTAAATGAAAGTTAATTGTTTCTAACACAATAAAGAGTATTCTGCCATTTACTTGCAGTCACTGCAAATTCATTTGTGTCAGAATAAGAAAATACTCATACATCTCATCATGCCATATTGCCTGTGGGATGTGTTCTCCCACACAGACAGACAGGTCAGATTATTCTGACATGTGAGGAGTGCTTGATGACTGCTCAAATCATTATTTATTTTTGTTGGTTATATTGTCTCAGCTTCTCAACCTTTGTTTTTAGTTTTATTTTTGTTATAGTTTGTTTACTTTGTTTCAATTAATTTCATTTTACTCTGTTTTTAAACCAACAGTCTGATAACCCTGACAGAAGAAATGGAGAGCAGGGCCTTACATTGATTTATTAATGATTGTATCCATGTAAAACACATACTGTATCTATAATCTGTATTACACTCCCTCTCGGATTTAGTTAAACTGACTAGCACAATTCCTCAATGCCCACTGTGTTTCACTCCAGAGAGTTCATTTCCACAATCATTATGTTGGACTGGGCCTGCTCACATACCTCCATCAGATTCCACTTCATTGGGTCATTTATGGCCTGCCCACATGGATTCACTAGCTCCCAGCTGTCCATCACTGTCTGCGGCTGTCCCAGTGAGGAACAGAGCTTCCACTCACTCTATGAGTGACTAAAATCAGCTCTTTTTCTCTGTCAGATCTCACATACTGCTGTGAAATCATTGCGCTCTCTCTGTCCCTCTCTCTCTATATATATATATATTTTCCAAGACATGCGAAGAAATACCATACAAGCAGACCAAAATTTAAGCGACTATTTATTGCTAATCTTCCCCTCTGCTGAAGCTCTGAAATAAACTAAAGTCGCACGGATCAAACATCTGTCATATTATATTTAAGAGCAGTGGAGTAGAATAACAAACTTTGGTCTGTTGATCTTCATCCTATTATCTCCTGGAAGAAAGAAAATAATACTGGCCTGGAACAACATGAAGGCGAGTACAAGATGACAAAATGTAATTGTTTTGGTGAACAACTGCCTTAAGAATGACTAGCCATTTCAAAATGGTAGCAAAACGGTAAACGTTTCAGTAGGAGCTCACAACAGACATTTACCGTCGTAAAGGTGAGGAGAACTACTGTATAATTACAAGGCTATGGAAACTATGATCTAAGAGCAGCTCATCATGTCCCCATGAAAGGGCTCAAGGATAAACAGGTTCAACCTTTAAGCAAGGTACATGAGGACAACCTCTGCTGATCACCCTTTTAAAGCTAAGATGAGGGATGAGAGACTCCTTAAGAATTCATCAAGGCAGTCTCTCCCCAATGACACGTGGCCATAAATGTTTGCTGCAGAGAGCACTCCAGACTGCTTCGTTTGGGTGAAGGTCACTCACATGGAAATGTCAAATGTCTCTTCATTGGCATGCCTGAGACAATAAGCAGAGATGAGGACAAATACATCAAAAAGTATATTGCTACAAATTACAAATACTTGCTCATCAAATTTATTTAATTTAAAATACAAATTACTTGTGTGAGAAATATATTTAATTAAAATGGAAGTAATTTGAAAATACAAACAATATAATTGGAAGTGCAAGGGACACTGCCATTACATTTAGTAATACTGGAGTTAGATACACACATAAAAGAAAGAGAAGTGCTTTCCCCTCTTTGAACAACTTATAAACAACATATTCTTTAACCCTAACACTAGACTTTATCATTTGTGTTCCTTTATCGTTTCTTTATCAGCGTGTCAAAAATTAAGCAGTCCTGCGAAACTGTACTGTCATACCACCTAGTCCTACTCAAGAGGATGTTTCAAGCTATTTCACTGTCAACAGTAAAGATTAACTCCTAAAAATGCTGATATTTAGCTCTTAAAGGGCTCTATATAGAATTCAGAAACCCTTGTTATTAGCGACACCGATGGTCGTTAAGTGAGCTATTGCCAGCAATTTATTGCTCATGCTCTTGCGCACACTCCATAGTAATGCGAGCGAGTGATGGCCAATGTGATTCACTGACATCATGTCAACAGATGAGGTTCATTAAAATGACACTGTTATGAAAGTTGTTACCCCCTTATTACCCAAACGTAACACATTGTTCCCTTATACCTACACGTATGTTCTTTATAGGTACACTATAATTACAGAAACGTACACTGTAAATTCAGTATACTTACATAGTTCTTTGCGGGTTGTAATCTAAAGCGTTACCCATTATTTTGTGTATTTGGTGTAATGCAATGTGTTTATGCAATTTAAGGTTAAAAAACACATTATTTTCCACATAATGTACATTATTGTTGCTCCTCTATGCCCCGCCTTTCTGAAACGCGTCAATTTTTACAAAGCTTATCGCTCTGAAAAGCGAGGTGTATGCTGATTGGCCAGCTATCCAGTGCATTGTGATTGGCCGAATACCTCAAGCGTGTGACGTAAATGTTACGCCCTTAACATATTGTGATGCCGTGTCCCGGCCGGAGCGACGAGACAAAATCAATAAAACCCATTATAAACGAGGCATTTGTTGCATCCAGTGGGGACATATTTACGGATTATAATGACTTATACTGTCTTTTTACGCGTTGCGTTGCAACTTTACATCACGCTGCGTAAACATAAAACCATGTCTGCATTTGTGATTGGAGAAACGACAAACAACAAGCAATGGCAATGGCTACTCTACACTGCTCAAAACTCGCGTTTGAATCATCAGTGGCAAATTCTTTAAATATGTAAACGTACTTACAGGCTGTGAGTCAGAAGCACCAGACTGTCCTTGCAAAGTTGGAATTGCCCCACTTTATAGAAACAGCCTTTGTGCTCAGAAGCATTGTAGGCTACTCTCTCAGGAAACAGTCCTCGTCCTCCGTAAAATGCGCTGCACACATCTGAATATTTGGGTTGAACTGTTCTGGAATAGTGTTGTAAATACAACTTAACCACTGATTTCTAGTTGTGTCCTCTTTTGGAAGGCCAAACAAAGTTGTTTCAAAACGAAACACACAGCGTCTTCACGACATGGTGGCGGCGGCAACAACAATACTTCAGCGAGAATCAAAGTTACGCCTTCTTTCTTTGCGTGAACATTTGGGCGGCGTTATGCAAATCTTTATGAAAATATTGATCTGCATTGTGCGTTCATGAGAGCATCCCAATGCATTTGTGTTGTGTTCACATGATTGAAGACTTGTGCGTCAACACAACACACATGAGTGAGTGTTCACTAGAGTTTCCACGACACGTGTTTGGATAATATTTTCGTAAATAAAGTGGTAAATTATGTTTTTTTTGCGTAAACAAAGCACTCACGTTGCTTCATAAAACTGGATTACTTAATAATGTACTTAATGACATGGATTACTTGATGTATTTCCTACCGTTCTAGACCCTGAATGTGTAAGTTGCATGGCTGACTGTAGAGGGACAGAAAGCTCTCGGATTTCATCAAAAATATCTTCATTTATGTTCCGAAGATGAATGAAGGTCTTACAGGAGTGGAACGACACGAGGGTGAGTAATTAATAACAGAATTTTCATTTTTGGGTGAACTATCCCTTTAAGACTCCACCTATGGATCCAACCGGATGTCATATGATTCAAAATTACCAACTTGATCAAGTATTTTAAGTATTTCAAATACAAAATACTCTCTCAAAGTATTTAATTACAAATTACATTTTATTTTTTGTCCGGCAAAATACAAATGATAAAATACTCAAAAGTAATTAAATATGTATTTTAAATACATTTATTTAAAATATTGTCCATCTCTGTCAAAAAGAACGCTATGCCGCTATAGCTCCACTTCATCAACGTCATTTAACAGCAATGACACTAATGAGCACTCATTTACTCATTATTAAAGGTTTTATACCTGTGTCATGTTAATAACTTCTAACAGGCAGATAATGGAACACTTCTAGATGGTGAAGGAGAGGTAACGCAAGTGTATTTTAATTGATTTTTGTTGATATTTAGGAGTGTGTGGGTAAACACATGATTTCAGCTGATTGCCAAGATCAATGTGACTTATGGTGCTGTGCATATTAAACAGAGTGTAGGAGTGCGATATTTTTGTGTTATTCATTAAAGAAGGTCAGAGGTGGGCTTACCATTCTGAACATCTAAAATGTGGTGTTTGTCTAGGGTCCATCCTCCCATGCTTGAGGCGTCGAGTTCATAACCTTGGAGGATGGCTGTTCTTTTCTCCCACAAGATCAGATCCAAACAGGACTCATACTCAAATCCCACAGACACTGTAGAGAGACAGATTGATGTTATTCGTGTATGCAAATACATCGTATAAATATCCTATAAAATACAGAAGTCTTGAGAACTGCTTGAGAAAGTAATCAATACAGACTAAGTCTAAACCCCACATTAAGTGGCATGCAGATAAATCATCATATAAACATTGGGCTGATAAACCACACTCATTCCCAGGGTCTAATCAGATGTCCTACACAATATCAAGTCATCTTTACTGCAGCCTGCCTGAACACTGCAGTGTCTCTATCATAACTTTGGTAAATCTCATAACAGATCTGCGCTTCACCAGGTGCAAATCGTTTTAAATTTATAACTGTTTTCAGCCGATCACATTAAGAAAGTGACCTTATGTCCCCCAGAGAGAATCAATAAGCGCACTGCTATTTGTTGGGCAAAAAAATTACCTGCTTAATGCAATTGGCAAAGCAAAGCCTGATGAGAAGATGAAAGCCAATCAATACTCGTGAGACCTAGCTAAACTATTTACAATTTTACACAGTTCACTTTGTAAAGGCAGAATGCATTCCTGACTTGGTGAAAAAACATGTCTTTTGTGGTTCAACATCTTGTGAGTTTGTTTATGTAAGGCACTGAAAAGCATGTCTAGTTTAGTCTGGCCTACTGCCTGCCACATCATCAGCTGAAAATAAACTGAGGCACTGTCATCAGCAGCAGACCATCTTTCTCAATACTTAAGTGAAAAACAAAGCCACAGATTCGCTTTGACCTTCCTCAAAACAGAACGAAGCATGTTGTTCTCTGTGGTTTTGCTGATGGGTAATCATACAAGCTACAAAATACAGTCAGCATAAAAAATTCCATAGTGAAAAAATCTTTCAGAGGAAAAAAATTGCTTCCTTTGCTATTGTTGGCCTTAATCATCTGCTTTGTTTTACATTTACAGTTCCTATTTGCATAGGTATATTTAAGGAGACATCCCATAATGCAACTGTCATAGTGGCACGGGCCATTAAGCACATCTACATTCTTGCATGTAACAAATTCAGGCTTTCTACGGAGGGTAATTATATTATTCCTCTACTCTGTGCATCTAGAAAAACAGTATGTGATAGTGAGGTGGTTGTTTACAAGCTCAACAACACTTGCTGATTTAATATTAAATATTAGTAAAGATGTAAAAAAATGCTGTTAATTGTGAGTTTTCAGTAAAGGTGTGATGCTGCATCAATTTACACTCAATTAACAGAATCTTACAAAAAATAAAACTGAATTTAAAGTGAAAAAGTTTTCACATTTAATTGTGCTTTCAATATTGAAAAGTAAAAAAAAAGTCTCTGATCTCTGCGTGTTTACTCACCCACAGCCTCTGATAGGCCATAAACTCTTTGGTTGTATGCATCTGTTTTATCCCAGATGAAGGTGTAGGACAGGTTGGGTTCTGCAGGGAACCACTTCTGAAAGAGACGTCCCACCACTGCCACCATCAGATGCACCTTCATGAGGTTAAAGGGGATAGTGGCTTGGGTCATGGTCACCTTGAGCACTGGCCGGTAGCCAGCCGCCCGCGAACTCAGATACATAAGGTTCAGGTCGCTACCCGGAATCGCCGTCTCCTCCTGAAGAACCTGCACATCAAAGAAAGAAAGAGGTGAAGATAAATGAAGATGGGGGAGAGAAGGAGTGACTCGGGGGCATCTGGAAGAGGCATTAGAGCTGAGAATGAGGCCTCCGATTTTTCTCTCTGCAGGATTAAATCACATCTGTGCCTGTGTTTGCTCTGACCACAATTTACTTGACATCTTGGATCTAATGAGGGAGATTTTCACGGGCGGAACATGCTTATATTTGCATCACTGTCGGAGGCTATTACTGTACCACATTCCACACGCTCAACTACGAGAAATACTCAACAGACAGAGCAGTGTGGGCCACTACTTGCAGTAGAAGAGTTCAAACTGGATTGATTTTAGACTTTGAAACAGCTGGCCTATCGTGCCGGATGAAACACAAGCGTGCAGTTAGAGGCATTTAAAGGTGCCCCTGGTGAGGAGTCACCAAAGTTCAGAGCATTAGTGCTGATTTCTCTCCCTCATTGAGATGCACAAAAGGAGCACAGGAGATGAGGAGCAGCTTGGATCAACAGAGCGATTCTGCATCACAGCTTTCTCCTCAAGTGCTTAATGAAAAGCCAGTCAAGCCACTGTGGAAAGACAGTAATCCCCCTGTCTTCCAGCTCATGGCATTGTCAAGTGTCCTACTGGGAGGGGACATTTATGTTTCTCTAACACAGAGGACAAAGGGAGCCAGAGGGAATTTCTTTTCTTCTCATTTTTTAGTATGGATGCCGCTGCACTTTTCTGGGGATCAGTAGAGGGGGCCAGATGGCTTTGGGAGAACCTTTGATATGCATTCTCTGGCTGCGACAACAAAAAACCCAGGCAAACAGGAAACTAATGGTAAGTGGGTGATAAAATAAAAGGACAGCAAGTTAAGATAAAGTTTGGTGGTTTTAACTGCCATTTGTACACACACACACACACACACACACACACACACACACACACACACGGGCAGACATACATGACTGTAGCATTATGCTCTCAATTTGAAGGGCCAACGTGGCCACCCTAACACTAGCTGATGCCATCCACATGTGTTTGTGCAAACCCCATGCTCGTAGCCTTTCTTAAGAGCGTCTATAAGCCACAATGCATTCATGCTATGCACTGGCCTCCCCTCTGTGAACTTTGATTACAGAGTCTGAGCTAACAACATGCTTTACTCCGCCTGCTATAAGCTCTTAATAAATGGCACCGCATGCGCTGCCGTGTCTCTACGTGTGCAGACGTGTTATTCTTAGCCACGGGGGCAAGGGCCATAAGTGCGTGTGGCTGCATTAAAGCAAAATATTTTCTCATTTGCCAAATGAAAGGGAAGATGAAAAAGGCTTTGAAAGTTAATTTGATACAGCCCATTAAATGCACAGTAATAAAGACCAGATTGAGTTTTATCATCAAGCATTTTTTTCATGGTAAGAACGGAAGCTAGTGTTTCTGCGAAAAGCCAAAAAGCAGCCGAATCAATGCACTCTCATTACATTTAGAGGTGTTATGCTTTATAGGACATAGTAGTTATTGAAGCAAAAACACAAAGCATGATGGGAAATCATATGTACCTTTCATTCACTAAGTGTCTCATCTGATTTTCCACTGTCTCATGGAGGTTTTCTCTGGACGTGAAAATGTGCCGTTCTCCTCTAGCCAAATACATTTTTTTCCAGGCCTGCACGACGGCCAAGTGGAAGCAATATGCCTGCCCGTTCGGTGTCACGGCCGCTAAGCGTTACGAGTGCTGGATGAGGGGGGCTGAAGGATGTCTGTTTGCCATTTGTGTGGGACGCTCTGGTTAAAAAAAGACCTTGGAGGCCATTACAGCTGAGGTCCAAAAGCCCCATATTAAATGCTAACTTGGTTGGGCCTGATTACCCCTGTTTACCCCTGATTACCCCAAGAGTTCCTCTCAAAGCAGGCTGTAATTCAAATCAGGGCCCATATACTTTGATGAGTGGGGTTCCACAGAGGGGACAGATGCCCCTATTGGAACCGAGGAGAAACATGGGAAGAGGAGTGTGGCCTGTTACATATGCTGCTGACAATAAGGAAACAATTTTTTCTCCTTTATGTCTTGGAGCAAACTCGTAAGGCAGCATATGTGTTGGCCCTGAGTGCTCGCATTACAGGGGATGTTCCCCCCGCCACATGCCACAGAATGGTAAGAATGGAAAGGCAGGGTTATAGAGGAACGGATCAAATGCACATCTGGACACAAGGTAAGTAGGGTGGAAGAGAAAATACAGACAGGATACAGCCAAGTTTTGTGAATCTCTAAATCAACAACAGCACTCACTTCACATGGCACAGACACACGTGACTGAGGAATTCAATATCGACTTTTATTTTGCCTTTCTTTTTATCATAACAGTTAGCTTTAAAGGATCAGTTCACACAAAAATGAAAATTCTGTCTTTTTCAAAAGCCATATGAAAGCTATTTGATTTAAGTCATTATTCCTCATCAGTTGTTAACTGCATTTGATTAATAAAAAAAGAAAGATTGACTCATTTACAAATTAAACACACCTAATTCTCATTCATTTTCATTATATTTAAAAGAGTGGCCAGGCTTTTTTTAAATATACCTTTTGTGTCTCACAAATAAAGAAAGTCACATGGGTTTTGAACAACAAGGTGGTGAGAATAATAGAAGAACTATTCCTTTAAGACCTTAAAACTTGTTTTGTTCAAGCATGCTTTTATATTCATCTCCCCAAAGACCTGGTGATTTATTTGCTCTGATGTGGGTCCAGTTTTCCTTTTTTACAGACAGGCAGCAAGAGGCTTGAGTCATTTTAACAGATTATGTAGGGGATAGCGCATGCGGATTTGCACAATGAAAGGAACAAAAGGAGGGTGTGCAAAAGGATATAAAATTCTGACCAATATCTCCACAATATGTGGGGTTGCTCTGAAGGCTGTAGTGATTTCTAGCTCTTCCCAGTGCCACACTAAGATTCAAAACACTTTTTCTGCTGAGTACTGCATGCTGGGTACAGGTTGAGGGAAACGAACAGACTGTTTTCTCACGTTTTTAGCACCATCACTGTTCTCAAAGGCTCCTTCTTCAGTGACTGACTGAACAGTGTGCAGAGCACGTCTAGACTCATTGCATACTCATTCATATCATATGGAGGCTGTTATATGATACCCTCTTCTCTGCATGTAAATAAATGACCATTCAGTATCCAGCTGACCTATTGAATACAATATTCCATTTACAATGGTGATTTGGCACTTTGGTGGTGTAGCATTTGGACCAATCAGACACACAACTTTTTGTTATATTTAACAAATAATATCGAACTCCCCGTCACCTAACCAAATGGCCAATTACGAGGGTCTATAGGAAAAATTTGATTGTTTTAGTTTTAGGGATCTGAAATCACTCACATTGTGGCTAGTAAGGGGTCCAACCGAGCCTTACCTGTGTCTCTGGAATGATGGGGCCATTTTCGGGCGAGGATCGGAAGAAGGTGGAGAGTGGTGTGGCCACAATGAGAGGGCTGGGTCGAATGAAGCCACTCAGGTCGCAGCTGGGGATGTCGTTTTCCTCTTTCTTCATAACCAGCATGTCCATTACGTAGAAGACATTCCACGGGATCCATACTGTACGGAATTGCGTCAGAAACGGCGCCCGCTCGAAGCTCAGCGTTAGTGATGCTCCGCCATTGGCCAGAATGTCATACCTTCAAAAATGAAACAGGAGTGTACTTATAAACTCCAATATTTATTTTGTACAAAAGTTAACTGAATTTGATATACACATATAAAAAAATCTCAGGACTGTCATACTCTCTTCATTAGGTATGCATAATATGCAGGTAATGTACTGCGGAGGTGAAAAGTGAGTAACTGAGATGAATTAGACATGAGAGCCGATGGCTAGACCTGGTTTAATTGTCTCTTGCTTTAACCTTCCTGATCCCAGTGCAGGTCTCCTCTGAGCCAAATGTTTCTAAGAAGGCCCTTTCCTTCCTGACACAGGGCCTTGCCACGGTGAAAAATGCATGATAATGTGGCTGAGCCTTTTTATCATTGCGTTTGTGTAAAAGCCAAAACTCTCCCTCGACTCTCTCTCTCTCACTGTTGCCATGAGAGATTTATTAGAAAGGAAATGAGTCAGGAACTGAGTGTACTGTCCTATATTCTGATATTTTGCAAAGGCTGCAGGGGGGAAAGCAAGATAGGGCAGAAAATATGCACGTAGAAGCGTAAGAATTCGCTCACGCATGCGCAAACATACACAGACACACACACACACACACACACAGAGTATCTAAGCAGCTCTGAAAGAGAGGCTGCTGGTGATTGGTCTCTAACAGCTGCGTAGCTGGTTCTCTGATTCCCTGTTGGAGTAAGTGGATGTGGAAGAGGTGTGGGCATGATTATCCACTACCATTTTACAGTCTGCCCCACTGTGGTGTTCAAGTGCTGCAACAGCTGGCTGAGTGGGCTAATCTCGGACACACTCTCCCTATATATAACCTACCCCTTGCACTCTCTCTCTTTCAGTCTGGGTCTCCTCCCTCCAGTCCAACCTCTTCTCTCATCACATTTTCTATTAAACATATCTCTTTGGCATATATATATATATATATATATATATATATATACAGTGGGTACGGAAAGTATTCAGACCCCCTTAAATTTTTCACTCTTTGTTATATTGCAGCCATTTGCTAAAATCATTTAAGTTATTTTTTTTTCCTCATTCATGTACACACAGCACCCCATATTGACAGAAAAACACAGAATTAGAGTGAAAAATTTAAAGGGGTCTGAATACTTTCCGTACCCACTGTATATATATGATAAAATAAATATATAGAGAAATACAAAATTACAATAAAAATGACAAAAGCACATTAAAAATTACTAAAAATTAAACTAAATAAAAAAGAATAACAAATAAACAAATTTTATTAAATAAACAAATAACAAATAAATAACATTAAAATAACACTGGTTATTCAACGAAAAAGTACTACTATAAAAGCAGTCTTATGAGCTGCATTTCAAATCTTCTGAAGCTATCGTAGATTTTTGTGATAAACAGAATCAAAATTAATTTTTCATTCAACTATTGTTTAAAGACTTGACCTGACCCCGTTCAGTCCACCAACTGCACATAACATGTCTTTTCAGTAATTCTATCTTTAATTACACTGAATTCAATTCAAATTTGTTCAATTCAATTGCAAACCTTATTTCATTTCCTTTCTGCTTAATTGCTGCCTTTTAGCCATTCAGCACTGACACATGACAGTACATGATGGTCATGTCACAGTCCCCTTGAACAAATATGTCTGCTTAAAGAGCTTGCTGGTTGCAGTCCTGAGGCCTTCGTGATTGCGGTGCTGCTGCTCCTTAATAATACTGGGATTGGTTTAACTGTATGGGAGAGTGCGGCCCATTGGCTGATTGATTCCACCCTTGTAAATCCAATGCATTTTAAACAGGCCGTTTGCTAAAGCACTGCTTCCTGAAGCAATGTCTGACATTTTCATGAGATGATCTTGGTAGATAAGACAGCACGCTATAAAACACATGCACACACACATACGCACACACAAATTGTTGTGGAGCCATAAGAAGTTGTGTATTCAATCAAAGTTGTCACACATTTATGTATGTTTTATGCACAAGTACTAAACATAACTAAACAGATGGTTTTGGTGACATCTGTACTCTGTGCTATATTATGACATCCAGTCATTCAAGGACAGAAACACTATGGAAGTGTGTATAGGATGTGTGTCTGCTTATGTTTTCAACCTACATGCCATCCTGCCGTGTGATGGTGAATCCGTGGTCTGGGTAGTGCACAAAGGACACGTTGACTCCAATCAGGGGTGTACCATCTGCAGTGAGCACCTGCCCTCTGATAATGGACACCAGGCTGCAAAACAAACACACATGGTCGGTAAGAAACCCCCACACACACTATTAATATGATTTACAGCATGATTGAACACGGATTCCCTAAGCTTTCACTGCAGTGTTAAAATGTTTAACCCACTGTAAATAACTAGAAAGCACACAAAGTCTGTCTCTCTCTTGCTCGCTCTCACACACACACACACACACACACTCCATGCTTATTTATGTGACTCTTGTGTCCCCGTCTCTATAGACAGTCATAATTCAGTCCCCTAAAGGCTCCAGTGGGATTCTTATGTCCTTAATTCCCAAGGCAGAATTTCCTTCGAGGAGCTTCATAAGGATCGATGTGGGCAAAGCTTTTGTTTGAAGAACTGTAACTTTCCCACAGGGGAATAAATAGCTAAAATACTTAGGAATCCTGCATTGCCAATTACTTTTTTTTGAAAAAGTGGTTGTCTTTCAAATCACAACCCAACCCCCCCCCCCCCTTAAAAAAAAAAAGAGATACCTTTTAACATATACATATATTTGTTGAACTGTAAGCGAAAGGCAGGACTGAATGACCACAGCGCACATGTATACAGAAATTCTTAAAAATATAATATTTTAATTTAACTTTTTTTTTCCTGAGCAAATATTGATACATTTGATCAAATTCAAATACAAATGTATTTGTATAGCGCTTTTCACAATACACATTGTTTCAAAACAGTTTTACAGAAAATGCATGTGTCTACATTACAATTTAGAGTGATCATTAGAATTTAGAATTCAGAGTGATCAATTTCAATTCATTTAATAGTAACTGGCATTTCTAATATAATTAAACATTTTTAAAAATCAACTTATAGTCCTAACAAAATAAGAAAACATCCAAGAGAATTACAGCCTGGGCAGAAATTGACTTCACCACAGTGTTGAGGACACCTCGCTCTACTTATTGGCTGATTTTCCAGGTCATTACTGCTTTTCTGGGGGCCTAATCAGCAGTGCAGCAGTGAATCAAAGTGTGGCGTTGCCCCTCACTTGGAGCTGGGATAAAGGAAGTGTGGAAATGACCCTAGGGTCACATCCACAGGTAAACATTCCATAAATAAGCTGCCGTTCCTCATGATGTGACCATAACTCAGAAATCCCATTTGCTTTGTGCGAGATAATAAAACAATAGTGTCCAGTGTTAGCTGCCACAGTCTGAGAGTCCTAAAAGCATGCTGTAATTCACACTCCTCAGCGCTGTATTTCTGTCTCTTTTACTCTGAAAACCACACGTCACACTTGCTACTCGCTCTGCATGTTTTCCACATGCTCTGAGGGCACCATGACTGCAAAACCAAGGTTAATATTGCTTACTCAAACTGCTATGAAGATGAAAGCATGAAGGAAAAAAATATACTTTTGTTAACTAAGACAACAATAATGTGAGTGTGCAAAAATCCAAAAAATAAAATGTGTACTATAATATGCTCAAAAACAATAGAAAAATTTAATGAAATACATAAATATGTACTCACTAATTAAAACTTAAATGAAAAAAAAACTATGGAATAATCAAACAATAATTTAATATATTTCAAATACACAACCAATTACATCCAATTTTACAACATATTTTTTTAAGATCATACACAGCCTATGACAGCTTCCCTTTCCTCTCTCTAAGAATAACCTTCATGATGTTGCCATCACAAGGATTATGGCTGGATCCAGGTGGACATCTACCAAGGTGCCCTAGGTTACTCACTTCATTCTTAAAGGGGTCACACAGATGTGCTCTTCTCCGCTTCTCCGAACCGCTGACCCTCTCAATACTCTAGTTGTTTTCAATCCAAACCTCGCTGCTTAAAACACCTTCCATTTTGCCAACATGCACCATGCAGAAGCTTAATCTGCTTAAAAGGCCCCTTAGTGCTGGGAAGCATGTAGCAAAATGAAAACAAGACATTTTCATGTACACAGGCAGGGGTTTGCTGAGCCAGGCGTTCAGGTGAACGGATGGCTAAAGATGACATAGAAGAAACATCTGGAGAGAGGCTGCTGGGATGGGTATATGACATACTTAATTCCGGAAAATTGAGGAGCTGGCACTTTTGCTCCAGTGGCATGTTGTTTTACAATGCTTATGCTGTGAATCAATAGGTAGTTACCCTGAGGAAACACACAAACAGCAACTGTTTCTTAGCTGGATTTTCTTTGAAACCTGTTTGACTCAGAAGGCAGAATGTGGGGATATATATAACCGGATTCACAATATCGGTCTTTCTTCAGTCAGACAAAATATATATATATATCGGTGCTGTGTCCTTTTATCACCATTTATCGTTTTAAAACAAAAAACAGTCCTGGATAAAAACCTACAATTTGAACTGAGCTACAATGAATACAAAAACCAGAGACTGTAATGTTTACTTAAACATTTGTATTATTTAGCGAGCGATTATTCTATTTTATCATGAGCTGGGAGGATGAGGGAGTCTGGTACATATGGTTTGTGTTACATTCGATGACTGCCAAACAAACTCTCCAGCCAAAATGACCGATATTCAGGGCAGATGTGCCCCGCGTGGGTTTGTGCATTTATTTTTAAATCACATTAGTCTACACCTCCCTTTATCAGATCAATCTTTATCTTGCCACAGAGGTATTTAAAGGTTTAATGTCCTCACATATGGGGCACCGGCTTTGGGCCTATTAAACTCTTTGTTGTAGCTAATCGTGTTATCTGTCATGACTGAATCACAGTTGCCAAGCAATTTTTGAGAGTAATCAAGCTAACTTCAATGTTATTTCCATCTTAACAGAACATGTGCATTGAGTTATGCATAGGAGGCAGGGGAAGAGATAAACAAACTGATCGTTATTGCATTATTATCACGTATCAGTCAAATTGAAATGTGACTGTGAGCATTTGTGGTGTGATCAATCAGCCTGCTTTGTGTTTTTAATTACTGGTTTCCATAGATATTAGCTTACACACCCACTGAATATTAGTCAGACACAATAAAAAGGAAATTGCATTAAAAGCGCAAAAAAGCAAGGAAGAACTTGAATTAGCAACAGGCGCTTAATTGACAGAGCAAAAGGAACAAGCAAGGTAAAACGAAGCAATGAAGGCAGCTGACCATGACAACTAAGAAATGATATCCATTCAAGCAAACAGAGAGAAGATGCTTCGGACAAACCCACGCTCTGGAGGTGACAACATAATTAATAGCACTGCTTATTCAAGCGGGTTATTATCAGATCTAACATCTCTTTCCAATAACTATTATGGTGCCATCACATACACAATGCAAATCGAGGCGCATAATTTGTAAATTACACTTTAATGCAACTTCAGAAAGAACATCTCTCTGTAACCCGGGTCACACAGTTCTTAGGAGGTTTTGTGAGTACATCTGTTTCCATGGCAACTGTATGAAGTCTTTAAGAGGGCTGTTAGAAGCAATTGTTGGGGGTCTCTGGAAAGCAGAAACTAAAGGATTATAACAAAACGAGACTATTCTATATGCTTATAATATGACACCAGGTCAGCCAATCAATTGTAGTTAATGAAATAATTAGACATGGGCAATCCATAAAATTTACATCAAAAGCTGTCATAATTATTATACATTTTTAAAGTTTCAGCTAGGCCAGTCGCGTCAGTAGATCAGATCAGTACTTGCTGTTCCAATGCCAATGTTTAAACGTTAAGTTCTATGCTGAAAAAGAACCCCCCCCACCCCCAAAAACAAACTCCATGACAGCTATAAAATCCCACTTTTGCTGGAAATGATATGGCATATGCTGTGAACCATGACTGATTTGTTTATAATTTTCTATCCTAACTGATCTAAGTGAAAACTATCACAATGATTCTTGCAATCTGTCATCCAGATGGATTACTTCATTGACTTTTTGAACTCTGCACAATAATATTCAATACATCACATCAAAAACCCAGTGGACTGGTATAAAACACGTTTACATGGTCAATGTAAGTTGTAGTTCATCACATGCCTGATAAAACCTGGGCCTCTGGGGCATTCTTATTGTTAAGCACTGATAGACTCATCACTATTTAAGGTTTAATTTGCTCACTGCAGCAAATACTGCACACATCCCTACCTTCTGTTAAAGGGGTTGTCTCCGTTAATGACATGTGTGCTCTCTGGGCCAATGAGGAAGCTGATTTGCTGATAGAATGACTGGGTGGCTTGCTGTGGGCTTCCGGGTTGGTTCTGGCCAATGATGTCGATGGGGTCAGGAGAGCCACGGCAGAAGGGATGAGTCTGACACGAGCTCTGCAGGCAACAGTCCGGATCCATACAGTCCACCAGGCCATCTGCACACAATACACATTAAAATACGAGGTGCTATGCGTTAAAGAGTCTTATAGCATATACTATGTCCTGTCTTACAGATCCTGTCACACTGCTTGTAGTGTGAGAGAAGTGAAACGTGTTTGCGTCTATGCTTCATATACTATCCACCCATTTGTTTCCTCACCTTTAGGGTCAAAGACATGACTGCAATATCCTCTCTAGTTTCTTTCACATTGTCAAGACTCTCTTTCTCGCCTCTATCAGTAAACACCTGGTGAATGCTTTGTGTGGAAATGCGGTCTGATCTCCCGCAGGTAAGTGCCATAAACCTCTGCCATCCATCTTGGCTAGTTTATAAAAAGCCCCGTGTACATCTGGCACACCATCACAGGGGAGTTAAAAGGTAAAAGAACACGTGTAAACACACACACACATGCAAACACATGCTTTTGTTGCGCTAATCAGTATGAGACCAATTCTTTTTTTTTTACTGCACCCTGAGCTGAGACTGCTCTGGTGAGATCGAGACTGAGAGTGTCTGACTGTTTGTTTTGTCTTCCGAGTGTCCCAACACCACCTGCCAAAAGCACCATGCAACTTCATGTGAGATCTGGACCTCTCGTAACTCTCACACTGCTTTAAATCCGGTCCGCTATGGCCAAAGTCAACACACATATGAAAAAATATCTCCAGAGAGAGCAGAATCTGTTAACATATCTTGCTCAGGTCACACAAAACAGAGGTCACGTAATGGGATCTTTGGACATGTATATGTATTTAAGGAGAAATGTATTTATATTTGACGTTTGTTTATATAAAGACCTTCATGTTCTCATCTTTTTATGGCACTTCTTTGTAATGGGTAGTTAAAGGAAGCCAAATTCAAAGAAATCTGCAATACCTGGCACGATTACTGTACGACTGATAATATATCATAACCTCACTGTATATTTCCCTTTCCGCTTTGGAAAAACATCAAAGCCTCTTGTCAGGCTTCCAGAGGACTATAAATCCTTCAGATTTACGATGTTACAGACCACATTATCTCCAACTAGAAAATTAATCTCCTCAAATACTTTGGAATTGCGCTGTGTTTAAAGGTTCATGCATTCACCTCGGTGGAGAAGGTTTTTAGCCATTTTTGTGTGGACGAAACCTCATGCTGGTCCTCAAGTGTGCACGGAACCTCACATGTACCAAAAAGTTCTGTATCCAAACACGCGCCCTGAATGCAGGATCGGTGAAGAAGGATTTACAGCCGCTTGCCCCTTGAGCAGGCCTGTCATTTTTGTTAAATGTAAGCAAAGAGAGATGCTCTGTTATTTATAGAGTTGGTCTCCCCTGATGTCTGTCAAGACAAGAATCGTAACCTCCAGAATCTAAGCTAACCTCTAGTTTTGAGATTTACTTGTCTTTGGTCTTAAGGCCCCGATATACTTCAAACGAAGTTCATTTTCATTCTTAGTTTGGGGACAAAAAGAAGTTTGAAAAGGCTGAGCGACGGTATACTGTTCCCGAACATTTCGACACCCCCGCGCCGCTGGAGGCGGGGTGTAGATTAATGTAAACACAACGCGACGCTCCCGCGTATCCCCTAAACACAACAACGATGAAATGAAGAAATGTAGGCAATCTAGGTGTGAGACGGGCCCCAATGGTCAGAATATTATAGACAAAAGAATAATGATTAGCAGCAGTCAAGTCAAGTATCATCTTTGCAATACAAAAGAGTCATTCCTTTCCCATAATCAGTCCTTTATGGGAAGTGTGAATGGCTCATAGTCTTAAAACTTTAGCATGTTGTGGAAAAAAATATTGGAGTCAGTTTGTTACTTTATTTAATTAGTGTTCATTTATTTTATTAAACTGGATAAATTGTTACACCTTTTTATATTTTATGTGGTGTCATGATTTACTTTTGATAAAAACAAATGTTTATTATTGTATGTTTGTTTGGCATTTCATTTATTATATACACTTTAAATTCGCTTATTGAAAGAACAACAGCAGCAGCAGCAGTATGGTGTAACATTGTTTTGAAACACATGTATCATTCTTTTCATGGCTTTGGAAAACCTGTCTCGGATGTTTCTCTACGTCGCTTTTTGCATAACTCCGGGTCGTCGACACCAAGCTTTGTTGCAATTTCTTTCTAGGAATTAAATGCTTTCTCTGAATCTTTAAAGTCTCTCCACGAGCGATCTTACAGGTGCGGATATATTTGTGCCAGCTCAGCATTCATGTTGCAGTGACTAGGAGATGTTGTTCTCCTGTCGGTCCTCCGTGGAATGATAAACAAACCGGGAAAACAAAATCGCACGTCAAAGAAAGTGGAGTTTCAGAACACACCCACCGATTGCGTAACTGCCACGGACCAATGGCAGCTCAAAGGTGTTTACGAGCCAAAACGAACTCCCCCAGAAAGTTCGCTTTGGTCAGCTGTTTCGAACTGCCGAAATGACGTCATATCAGTTTGTTCTTCGATTTCGTTTGAAGTATATCAGGGCCTTTAGGGTCATGTCTTAGTGTGTTATATTCTGATGGGCTGAAGGCTATGGGATACCACAGTGAAAAACTGAGCGACTCTTATAAATCAAAACATGCTTAACTTTTCTGTACCACTTGACTGTAAACAATGATTTTTCAAAGTTGTAAAAAAAAACAAAAAAAACAACAACAAGATTGGTCCATGTTTGGTGTGTTTAAAACCTGCCTAAAAACTTTATCATAACTTTTATTGAGGGAGAAGAAATTTCAATGTCAGTTGTTTCATAAACATTTAAATATGCACATTTTACAGTTTCCACCAGGGTTATATCCTCGACCTGATTATCATTGACACATATTTATCTGATGTTTACATAAACTTTTCCATATGTATATATGTGTGATGCATCCCATTTAAATTTGATAACGTTCATCCGTCTAAGTCACTGGTGACCTCACCTCCTTCATTGTCCTTGCCGTCTGCACAGAGAGTCTCCATGGCAACGTCACAGCCGGCCCCTCTCCAGCCTGGTTGGCAGACACAATGCCAGCCATTCTGATCCAGCGTGCAGCGTCCATTACTGTTGCACAGACCTGGGCATCCCTCTGCAGAGACAGACAGAACCGTCATACACTAGTACAGACGTGTGTGTGTGTTCAAATGTGTTAGTCAAGTATGTGTATGTTTTTATATTTATGTGACCATATTCTCTGTGTCAGTTGTTCTGTTGTCATTAAAAATCATCATATGTGGCCACAGTAGGACACAATGTGTCTTCGACTTGTGAAACACAAATGGTAATCCAAACAGATATACACTGAGATCGTCGTGAATGAAAGTAAGGGTTTAAAGGTGAACACAGACTGACGCTGGACTTCAAACAGGCCTAGTGAGATGCACAGAGGCTGTAGATTCACATGGATGTAATGGATGCTCTCTCGACACAACCAATCAATTTAAAAAGGATGGCATACATTTGTGAAGAAATCAAGGTGAGACCCAAAAGGAAAAATAACCGATTGAGGAATCCAAATGAGAACCCATAAAAATATATTTAATGAAAATTAATAAAAAAAATTAAATTGAATTTAGAAAGCGAGATCAAAGGAAGGGATATAAGAGGGTGAAGGAATAATAAATCAGCTGAGGCATCCATGTGAAGCTACGGCACACAGAGAATCCCAGTGGCATAAAGTATAGGGTGGACGTCTGAGCTGGCGAGAGAGTGTGTGGTTCCAGCGCTATACTTTCTGCCCAGGTCACATTCCACCGGACGGAATCAGAGGAAAGCAAGAGAGGCCAGGGGGAGGGAAGGAGAGGATTGTGGGAGAAGCTAGGCTAACAAACACCAGGGGTCAGGCTGCGGGATGCATGGAGACAGGACCCACAGGATTCCAAAACAAAACTCAAGGACCACAGGTGTGTTTGTGTGTAAGTGCATGTCAGTAACTGTGTGTGTGCGTTTATGTGAGTGTGTGTGGCTTGTTCAAGACAAACAATGATGAATTTGGCAGATATAAAGACAACAATAAATACAGCGAGGAGACTAGAACATAGACACGCTGACATCGTGCTTCAAGACAAAAAATTGAAGGAGGGAGAAAGGAAGAAAGCAAGAAAGAAACTTAAGAAATAGAAAGAAAGAAAGACAGAGAGACAGCAGAGTGATTGCTTGTGACAGTCTCCCTGGGGCTTTGGTATGCATTACCTTTAAATCCTATCCTCTCTCCTATTATGGGGCCGGGAGGGAGGAAAATTCGGGAAAGAAAATGAACAAAAAAAATCTGAGCACTTGAGTCCAACTGAAGGACGATTCAGAACACAAAAACACAGAAGGGAAAGAGAGAGTAAGGAAGAAAATGACCATAAAGCGGAGAAAAGGAAAGAGGGGCTTTGAGAAGGAGGAAGGCGAGATGTTGAAAGAAGAGTGGGAGCTGTTTCGACTTTGACGACTCCGTCTGGAGGATTGCCATGGCGTGTATATTGTGTTATTCAATGTATGAATAAATACCATACTAAGAAACACTACATTCCATGTCTGTTTAGTATTGTATGAGTGAGAAAATGAAAAGAAAAAGCAACATTGAATGTGATAAAACATGATGAAAACAAGCGAGAAACATGCTCTGAGCTAACATATTGAGGTTTGGAGAAAAAGTATCAAAGTAAGCCCGTAAGAGTTTAAGAAACATCTTAATGTTTAAAAATAAATAATAAAAAAAACCTTGTGAGAGTACTTGGCGGTCTTATGCACCATATGCCAGTTTGTGAGTCTGGAATCACACTTGGCTTAGCACTGATTTAGCCCTGTGAAATCATTTCCAAAAACACCTCAGTAACAGTAAACAAGAATCTGCTAGTATCTCTTCTCTTGATCTCCATTTACACTGCCAGCTCGTAGTTCATTATAAAATAAACATGGCTGATCGTCATTTGCGTGCAGGTTTCGTGGAGCTCTATTGTTTTAAAAATGAACTCGAGTACGACTCTGGGACATGGAGGAGATGCTAAACTGCAGATGTGGAGCTGTGGTGATTTAGTTTAGGCGGGGGGATGGTTCTGCAGAAGTTGGAACATTAGCCAAGGAGAGCACTGAGGACATTGGATTGGATTTCTGACAGTCCAAAAAATAGAAGGCAATGAAGAATCACAATAATAGGAGACACGCAGAGGAGAGAGAGAGAGAGAAGAGGTTATTAATGCGCCATAAAAATGTCATAAAGACCTCAATCCGGGACACAAGAGCTCAAGGGAGAGAGAATGAGAGAGAAGAAGAAGAAGAAAAGACACAGTACCTTGGACATACGTCTCCGGGTGAGCTTTACAGGGAGCAAGAAGAGGAAGAAAAAAGGAAAAGAGGATGGTAAAAAGGTGTTAAAAGACAGTCAACCTGAAACACGGCATACAGAAACAAAGAGTTTTTTAGCACTGCTGGTAGATGTTGGTTCAAAAAATCATCTTTCATAGCACAGACATTAAAAATTAGTAGTAATGCTAACTGACTTCTGCTTTCCCAAATAAATATGTGAAAAATAATTTTTTTATAGTTGTAAATAAAACAAAGATTACTGGAGTTCAAAAACAAACAAACAAAAATGGTTTCATCATTTCTACTTCAAAAGTTCATGTTTAATTCAGTGTGCCGAAACCTGCCGTTTCTTTGAAATCATCTGTGAAATTTACTGGAAATTTCTGAGTGAAAACTGTTTCAAACTAAATCTAACACCAAATGTTTTTCAGTGTACAAAAACGAACACACAAGCACTGGAGTAAATAAAGCAAAAACACTTCCACCGAGCAGTCTTGGCATGGACTTGCATGGTTCTCAAAGCCCACCGGTACCCTGCACAATCTTCTGCGACACCATTTATGGAATAAAATGAAAAACAACACCAGTAGAAAATGACTCACTCTTCTTGTTCAGTATTCACTGAGCGCTCCCCTAAATCGCTTCTCAAATGTGTGGCACTATCACTCATAATGCATAAAGTAAATAACATGGGCATCATGGGATTTACAGTACTGTTAGAAAACGGGGCCTCATATGCAAATACGAAATTGCATCCTGATGATTGACGTGGTCCAGGAATCCTACAGTATGTTTGCTATTTCACATTTCACATTGTCATCACATCAGGTCTATTATCCTTGAGCCCCTCAGTATGCGAGTGAAATATTATATGGCCCTGACTGAGGGGGTGGGGGGAATGTGTGTGTGTGCTGTTGGAATACTGTATGGATAAGCTCTGAAGCTCTGAATCATCCGCATGTGTGTACAAGAGCAATCATCTCCTTCCTGTGGCTAAATGAAATGATTTCTGACAAGGCTTTGGGAGAAACCCTGTGTGGCGTGTCATAACATTACATATGCTAGGTCAGATCAAATCATCCTAAATAAATAGTCACCTTTCAATACAAGCATAACAATGCTGTTATGCTGAGGCTTCATTAGCTGGATTATGTTCTTAAGGAAGATACTCTTATGTGTGAATGGAAGACGAGTGTGTGTGGTTGAGACTGACTGAGAGGTTTTGCGCGTGTGTATGTGTGTGTGTGAGAGAGAGAGTGTGTGAGAGTGTACTGATTAAATTCCTCGGGTGTCTTGTTTCCACACACTCACTGTTATGTCTGGGAGATCCAGAACTTAGACAGTTGTAGAAGACCGAATACAATATGCACTCCAGAATACACAACGGGTTATGAAAACACAAGCTAACGCATGCTCCGAACTGGAAACTTGCCAGTGAGGGCAGCCAATTACTGGCTAATTACAACAAACTTTTGTTCATTTACATTGATGGTCCTGAGGGGAGATATATAGAGAGAGAGAGAGAGAGTAAGTGAAGGAGAGACGGAAGGGAAGGAAAAAATAGGCAATCATCCCTTTTATGGACATCAATACTTCATTATTTACATGCACATTCAAAGAGCACTGATTAAAGTGACATTAATCTGGAAACAATTACACATCACGTCCAGCTTGGTTCAATCACTGTTCCTCCAAAGAGAAAAAGAGAGAGAGCCTATATTAATTTCCATTATCCTAATTGTGCTGCACAGCCACATGGCGGTATACATGCCCCCACAGCTGTCGGTATAGCTAGTGTGACATAGGGGCCAAACATGTGTTTTAATCACGTTCATGGGCACCTCAAGCCATCCCACAGAACCAATCAAATGTTAACAATGTGTCAGCCCTCTACCTGCCCGCCACCATAATGACAGGATAGTGCATGCCATCACCACTGCCGCCACCTCCATCCGCAGCATTCGGCAGACTGTGCGTCTGAATCCCATTCCCTTTTCAGAGCCTGCCTGGATTAATGTGCTGTGAAAGGGCGTTTCATTAATTAGTGATTGAGATGATAAAGCGTGGAGAATGATTTGTAGATGTACAGTGCGTGCTGTGTTTTTGTTTTAACTCTCCGTCTATCTGACATGGTTTGATGTGAGGGGAGAATTGAGGGCACTGAAGATCAGGATAATGTAGTTGTGTGTTGGCATGCGTGTGCGCTATTGATTTCTTTGTCTGTACGCACGTGTGTGTGCGACGTGCGTGATAATAAACGGGAGGTTTTGAAGGACAGGAGCTTCAATACTGCATAAATGGAAGCTGTTTGTTTTCGACTGCATGTGAGGTACTCTATCAGTCAAAGTTTGGAATAATTTGTTTTTGAAAGCACTTCAAAAACTTTGTTTTTGCTTAACAAGGCTGCGTTATTTGGTCAAAATAGAGTAAAAACAGCAACATTGTCAATTATTATTACAATTCAAAACAAATGTTTTCTATTTTAATATATTTTAAAATGTAATTTAAATGGGGAATTTTCAGCAGCTATTCCTCCAATCTTTTTTTTTTTTTTTTTTTTTTACCTTTAGTTATCACGGTTTCAACAAAAATATTAAACAGCAAAAACTGTTTTCAACATTGATACGATTTTTTTTTCTTGAGCACCAAATCAGCATTTTAGAAATATTTCTGAAGGATCATGTAACACTGATCCTGAAATAAAAAGGAATATACCGCAATGCGCAATATGGCAAATTTTGGGAAAAAAAGTCCTGCCTTTAAATTGAAACAGAAAAAATTTTTTTTATTTTAAAA